CAGACCCCCGGCGGCCATCGCACCCCGGGGCCGCTGCGCTTCCGCTTCCGCCTCCCCGCAGCCCCCGGCGCATGCGCGCGCCCACACCGCCCCTTCCGGCCCCGCCCGCACGGCACGCCAAGAAAGCACCTGCTGGTCTCTTTAAAAGGTGTTTATTGATCATATACAAAATAAAGAAAACCTTATATATCACAAACATACACTATGTACAGCAATAAATACCCGGGGGGGCCAGGCCCAGCGCCGCCCCTCCTGGACAATAACTTAGCAATAAATACTGCACGGGGCAGGGTGGCTGGCCCCCTCGCTGGGGTCTTGTACCCCCGCAGAGCAGACCCCAGGGCACTCCACACCCACCTCCCCGGATCCGCCCGGGCGGGGCGGGCAGCCCTGTCCTGCTGCCTAAGCTGCCAGGAGAGGCTTCGGTGCCACTCCCGTTTGGTTAAAGGCTTCAGGACTAGCAGATTGAGGGTACCGGCGGGAGCGCAGGGCGGGACGGAGGTGCTGGACCAGTCTTGAGGTCCATCCGGGACATTCTTACACTTGGCCTGTCCTCGGGCACACCATGGTATCAAAGCTGCTGTCCCCAGGCTGAAGCTGGGGTGGGACTGGCAGAGCACATGCCCAGGACACAGGCCAGAGGAGGCATGCTCCTGCTACATGTGGCACGATCGCCTAGTCCACTCCCCAATGGCTCCAAAACGGATGGCCAACAGGAAGGCAAACACCCTCAAAAGTATCCAGTGGCTTCTGAGGAAGAAAGATCGTTAACGTGTTGGTTGCTTTCACCAAACCACAGCCTAAAAAAGTAACTTACAAGATCCCAGAGCGGAAACCGTGCAGCAGGCTGCAGCTCACTCTTCCCAGCTACAGACGGGAGCTCTGGCCAGGAAGCTGCTCAAGTGAGGGAGGCCACAGGGATACAAGAGGCCTGACCGCCGGTCCCAAGCACAGTCGATGAGCATGACAGGCCCAGGCACTAACCACCAAGGCCACTGCAGATCAGCGGTGTGCACGGGTCTGCAGCACAGCACGGACCAGGAGAGAGGCCGGGAGCCCCCACAAAGCACCTGCACTGACGGCACGGTCCTTGGCAACAGCTGCCAGGGACCACCGGGAGTTCTCCCTGGGTCCACTCTTTGGCCAAGAGCTGACCTGTGTCTGCTGGGCTTTTCTTTGAAACCAAGTGTCCACGTTGGAGTACAGGGGAAGTGGGGGCAGAGTCAAGGCAGGAGGGAAGGTGCACAAGACGGTTACTTGGCGGACAAGTTTGGGAGCTCCAGTCTCGGCAAACGCCTTCGATTCGCTGTGTGGCAAAGCTGAGAACACGGCACTCTCACAGTAGGAAAACGGAATTAACGAGGCCAGGAGGACAGCCAACAGTCACACGTGGACATGGGGTCTACGGTCAAGGGGTCACGGTGAGGGGGAAAGAGGGGAGTGGGCCCAAGCTGGCAGGACAGGAAACGAGAACACTCCCCCAGACCCAGGAACAGGGTCCAAACTCGAAGCCTTGAAAGGAAGCACATCCTCGCTAGCGACAGACACTGCTCTGCCACCCAAACCGGGAACCCACCTCCAAACTCTGCTACTCCCTCACCTCCTCACCTGTGAGCTGGGCCTGCAGCCTGGCAGTTTCTGAGATGGACAGCCACCCCCAGCTAGGACAGAGTGAGCACCTGGCCCTGCTCCTCACTTCTGTAGGCATACTGAGGGACAAGCCCCCTCCCTGCGGCGATGGCCACGTCAGCAACTCAGGTCTGGATTCTAGTTAGACAACACCAACGGTAGGGGGGGGACAAGTCAAGTGCCTCAGTGGACAAGGCAGGGTGACCCAGGTGCGAACAGGAGCGTCCCTGGGCAGCTGGGACAGCAGTCACCTGGATGGCCACGGCCCACAGATTGCTGTCTTCTATCTCGCAGGCTCGATGGGGCAGGCTTGTGAGCAAATCTGCTGGTTCGAGGTAAACCCCGGCGGGCCAGCCCTCCTCACCAGCTCACGCCTCCTTCTATGCTCTTCAGAGGTCCGCTCAGGGCCCCTCGGAGACACCAGCAGTCTGGGAGAGAGCCCGCAGTCCACGTGGCCAGACACAGGGCTGCAGCCTCTGGGCTACCTGTGACCCCGCCATGCACCTACAGGGAGCCTCCTGGTCCTGACTGGGAGGTCGTAGCCTCCACTGAGCAGCTGGGACAGGGAAGGGGGTAGCTGGCCCGGGGAAAAGCACCTCCGAAAGCCAGGCAGCTGATCCCTGGAAGACGCCCAAAGGGGATGGGAAGAGAGCCCAAGCTAAGAGCCACCAGCACGGACAGGGTGAGGGTTGGGACCAGCCCTGGTGAGCACAGCCCCGGCCAAGCACTGGTGGTGCCCCCAGGACCAGGGAAAAGGAACCGTTCCTGGTCTGGGCAGCGCCACCCTAGGCTGGGGGGAACACAGCTCCTGGGCGGTGGGCCCTTGGTGCCCCCCACTGAGGCTCCACCTAGGGCCCAGACTGCAGCCAAGCACGGAGATTGGAGGCCAGGAGGAAGACAGCTGAGGACCGCATGGCCGCGGCCCGTGGGTACCCACAGTGACACCTCGGTCCCTGCAATGCCACCACCCAGGGCCACAGGTGGTGGGTGTGGAAGCAGCACAGGAGGCCCCAGTCACCTGCCCTGCCTCTGGGTCAGCATAAGCCCTAGACACACACAAGAAGCCAAGGCTGAGCAGGGGAGGGCAGCAGAGGCCCGAGGCCGAGCAGCTGAGCACCGGGCCAGGGCCGGTGCTGGCAGAAAACCTGGGGCTGTCAGACAGACCCCCCAGCTCAGGGGAATCAGCAGCCCAGCCCCTGCCAGGCCTGGCCCAGCAAGCCAGCAGAAGCAAAAACACAACCGAAGCCAAAAGAACAAACACGGGAAACACACACAGAAGTGACACCCACAGGTCAAAGGTCACCAGAAGCACCAGCACTTCACGGCTGCACGAAACCTCACCAGGCACGGACGACACCACGGCACCGGCAAGAGACGGAAGCGGGAGGGCAGGAGTAAGTCACTTTCGGTACAATTGCAAAAGAGATATCAAACAGGGCGGCTCTGGTCAGCCTGCGGCCTGGCTTTTTTCTTTTTTTTTTTTTTTTTTTCTTTTTTTACTTTTTAAAATGTCTCATAGAGACAGAAGTGAGAAAGCACCACCCATGGGGAATGGTCACACTGCAATTCCTCCTCCATCCTCCTCTCAAGATTTTGGGCACACACACCCAGTCACGTGCATGGTGTGTTTTTCTTTCTTTTTTTTTTTTAGGAGTGTTTTCTCTATAGGTTGTGTGTGCTCACTGGAGAGACAGAAAGTGAAAAATCACCCCCCAGGGGGGATGGCCATGCCACAAGCCCGTCTCCATTCTCCTCTTGGGATTGTAGGCGCACACACTCATTCGCCTGGCATGAGTTTCAAGCTGTGGGTCCTAGACGTGAACCACGGTCAACCGTGTGGGAATCCTGTCCCTTAACCATCACACCACCTGCTGGCCCAACCTGGTGTGTTTTTCAAACCAGCATACTTGGAACTCAAACTGCGTAGTCAGCCATGTGGGATCCAGTCACCCTAATTACCTTGCCACTCACTGGTTTTTTTTGTTTTTTTTTTTTTTGTCTTTTTTTAAACTAAGTTTTATAAATAATGTCTGATAACTCTGTGTATATAAAAACTAAACTCCAACAGCCACAAAGAGTTGAAAGTTTACAAGAAAGGGATTTTTTTTTTGTCTTTTTCTTTTTTTTAAACCAGCAAAGTTTCTATTATACTTTCTTCCCTTTTCGTGTATATGGTCAAATGTTCTTTTTGCTTGCTTTTTTTTAAAAGACAGTTTTATAAATACTCTGCAGCTTTTCTTCTTTTCCTTTAGCTTTTAAACATATAATTTAATAACTTCGTAAAAGGAACTTCTCTCTTTTAAATAAAGGGCTATATAACCACACGAAGAGGTCATGTAAACAGTGACACGGGACCCAGCGCAGGGCACAACAGACACCCTTCACGTGAGCTCTCGGCCAGTGGCAGGTCTCATTCGTTCAGTGCGATGTGTCGGAGCCCACGTGGCCCAGCTGCAGCCCCGCCCCTGGGACCCTTCGGGACAGCCCGCTCTCTGAGCAGAGCCATCTTCCTGCCAGGCTGGGCTGAACCCTCCCCGCAGCTGGACTCCACGCCCGCACGGCCCCAGTACCCAGGGGTCGGGGCCGTCCCCCGCCACCAGCAACCTGACTGACCCCCACGTACGAAACACGACCACGACCACAACATCTCAGGGGCTCAGCCCAGCGCCCCTGGGTGCAGGTTGTGCTTTGCAGGGAAGGGACGAGGGGGGAAAGGACAAGGCGGGGTGGGAGGAGGGAGAGGCGCGGGAGCACCAAGGGGAAAGAGAAGGAAGGACGGACAGGGCTGCCGAAGCCGCCATGCGCCTGGTGGCCCCTCGACCAGCCTGGGCAAACGCACATGTCCCTACGACCGGGCGTCCGTCTTGGACTTTACTATTGTGATGACGCTGGTGGCAGCCACCTTGCCAGGGACGAGGGGCCCCAGACCACTGGCCAGGGGGCCCCGAGCCGGGGCCACGGGGCTGCGGGCCACGGTCCTGGCGAAGTTCTGCAGGGCCTCGTACTTGGAGCGCAGGGCATCGAGCTCCAGCTTCATGCTGGCGTTCTCGGAGGCCAGCTTCTCCACCTCCTGCTGCAGCTCAGCCTTCTGCTTCTCCAGCTCCTCCTTCTGCGTCACGCGCTTCACGCGGCAGCTGGCCGCGTAGCCCCGGTTCTTGAGCGTGCGCCGGCGCTGCTTCAGCTGGACGATCTCCTCCTTGGACAGGCCGCGCAGGTGCTGGTTAAGCTCCCGCACGGACATGGTCACCAGCTCCTCGTCCGTCAGGCTGGTGCCATTCTCACCTGGCTCCCGCTTCACCTGAGGGCAGCACAGTGCACGGTCACAGGCGAGGAGGGGCCCGGCAGTGCCACCCTGGCCCAGACTCCACACCCTGCCTGCTCACCTTCAAGGCCTTGCTTCCTTTGTTGGGGGTCGTCATAACCTGGGGGCACAGCAAGCAGGCACTCTCTGGAAGACAGGGCAGAGGTTGGACCTCCAGACGCTCCACCTCCTCCCCTCCCCAGGCCCGCCCCGCCCCTCACCTGCCCACTCCCTGTCCACTCTGCCCCCCTAGGGAATGGGGGGGTCGGGAAGGGCTGATGGGGGAAGGGGGCTGAAAGCCCTTCAGAGGCAGTGGCAAGACAAAGGCTGGGGACATCAGAGGAGCCCTAGGAAGACGAGCTTTAAAAATAACCCGGTGCTCGCCCCAGAGCGGCTGTTCCTGGCGAGTCACGCTGACTCAGCACATAGCACATAGCGCTCCCTCACGGGGAGCTGGCACTCCCGGCAGCCGGCCAGTCAGCGGCGCCCCAGGAGACCCGCAGGCCGCTGTGGCGCAGCCGGGGGAGGCCCGCCAGTGGCCAGCTGCCTTCCCTAAGCCAGCCTGGGACGGGGTGCTGTCCTCCAGAGGCTTAGGGGGCTGTCCCTGCTGGGGATTTGGGCAGACAGGAGGATACCGGGAGGCCTGATCCTGACATCTCAGACCCTGAAGAGCTGGGAATGGGGTCTCGGCCACCTGTGGCCCCCTTGGCAGCACCCTCCAGGCCCCCTCCCCCCTCCCCCACTGTGGAGTGGCTGTTGCAGCATCCAGGGCCCCTGCCCCGCCCCTCCAAGGGAGTTTCACAAGGCCCCCCCTCATGCCCAGGCAGCTCCCCACCCAGGGCGCTGACTGGACCCTGTCCCCTGTCCCTGACAGGACGTTTTTGTGCACCTGGTCCCAGAGACCCCTTCCATGCTCTGTCCCCTTTCCAGGGCGCGTGCAGAGAGGAGGGGCTGGGAGCACACACCCCCTCTCCTGAAGACCTGCTCACCAGCCTTGCTCCAAGTGGCACAAAAAGCATGAAAGGAAGCCCAGACGAAGCTGTGGCCAGACCCCGCTGGGGCCCTCCAGATCTCAGGCGGGATGGACCAGGGCGTGGGACAGAGGTCCTGGGGTCGTCTTTTCTACAAGCTGGCCCTATGCTGCCCAAGAGCCAGGCTTGTGCAGCAGAGCCTGGAGGGGCGCCCACAGCCTTTGGCCAGGTGGGGTGCGGATGCTGCCCTGACGCCAGCTCTCCCCACACTGTCCTCCTCCACTCCTGACTGCCAAGCGATGACAACGGTGACTTCCTGGAGAGAGCACAGAAAAGTGCCTCGACAGTTTCCCCACCAAAGGCCTGGGCTCAGCACTAGCAAGTCAGTTGCTTCATAATCAAAGGTGCCCGGCCTGCACCAGGGGAGGGCGGCCAACCTGCTCTGCAGCGGCCGTGCGCACCCCCAGCCTGTGGGGCCTCAGGGAGCTGGAAGAAGGGGCTGGAGCTGGGGCTGGATCAAGAAGCCGCCTCTGCCTGCACCTCAGCTCCGGCTGAGTCTGGAAGGCTGGAGCGCAGGGCCCTACCACCCTTCACCCTCTGCTCCCCCAGGGGCTCAGGCTGCCTCACGAGGAAACCGGAGGTCACAAGGGCCACACCACTCAGGCTGCACACAGCAAAGGGGAGGAGGTCTGGACAGCGCCATCCCTTCACGCTGGGCCAGGTGCGGGAGCAGGCCAGAGCCAGCCCTTGCTCCAGCATTGTGGCCGCCAACCCCAGTGGCCAGACTCCCAGGCAGGCATGGCCTGGAGGCTCTGCACCCTCACCTGGGTGGGCCTTGGCTCCCATCCAGACACACCTCTACCAGAGCCCCAGCCCAAGAAAGTCACTCCGAAAAAGAGCCCAAGCCAAGTGGCCCTGACCCTTCCTGGGCACAGCGCTCCAGCCTTGGGCTCAGCCTGGGTGCGAGCATGTGCTGGGGCATCTCTGAGGCCAGAGGGCGAGCTCTCCCGCACCCCTACACACACACCTCAGGCCAGGAGGGCGAGCTCTCCCGCACCCCTACACACACACCTCAGGCCAGGAGGGCGAGCTCTCCCGCACCCCTACACACACACCTGAGGCCAGAGGGCGAGCTCTCCGGCACCCCTACACACACACCTCAGGCCACCTGCCAGGCGGACTGGGCCCAGTGCTGCTAACTCAGCAGCAGAAAGATCACCTCAGGAGGTAACTTTGGGCTACTGGGAACAGCACTCTGGCACCCCAAGTCTGGGCACCCTGAAGTTCTCACCACCCAAAGCCTCAACCCAGACTCCAAGGCCGGCCTGAGAGCAAAACTCACTTCCTTACGCCCTGCGGTCACCTGTACCCTCTGCACCCTCCTTCCAACGCCCCCCCAAGTTTGGCTCTCTTCTGCTAAGGGTGGCCCAGCCTGGCTGGCCAGACCAGTCCCAAGGAAAGCGGGCTTCCCGGGGGAGGGGGCAGCTCGGCCCGCCTAAGCTCCTCCCGTCCTCTCCCAGGAGAACTGCGGCTCCCCAGTGCCCGGAACTGCCCCGGGGCGCAGAGCC